TGCTAACCAGAAGGCTGGTGGTTCAAACCCACCTGCCACTTCTCGGAAGGAAGGTTGGACAGTCTATTTCCATAGTAATACCACCTCAGAAAACCAAGGAGGAGTCACTATGAGTCAGTCTGACTCAACAGCACATAACAACAACAACATATAAAATGCTTAGCATGATGTCCGACACATAAAAGTTTCCCTTACATCCCATGAAACAGTTCACTAGATGGAATCACCAAGTTCAGTTTTTTTTTAATACTTTGTTTTTTGAGGTACTTAAAAGTTACTCAACTTCTCTAGCTAATTTGATATTTAATGTGAAAGGTAATGAGGTTATTTTGTAATATTTTTTAGATGCTTAAGATAAGGAAACTTGACATGCAAACTGGAACAGCGTATTGCATAAAACATAAAACTCACTTCTTAAAAAAAGAAAAGAAAACTACTGAGAAAATTGTCCAAGACTTGTTGGAGGAGAACTTCCCTGATATGATGAAAGATGAGAATATATCCATTTAGGAAGTCCAACTAACCCCAAACAAGACAGACCCCAAAAGAAAAACACCGAGACAAATCACCATAAAACTCACCAAAACCAAAGACAAAGAAAGGATCACGAGAGCAGCACGGGAAAAACAAAAAGTTACCTACAAGGGGCAACCAGTAAGACTAAGCTTGGATTTCTCAACAGAAACCATGCAGGCGAGAAAGTGAGATGGTATATATAAAACACTGAAAGAGAAAAATTTCCAACCAAGAATTATGTACCCAGCAAAATTGTTCCTCAAATATGATGGTGAAATTAGGACATTTCCAGATAAGCAGAAATTAAGGGAATTTGTTAAAACCAGACCAACCTTATAAGAGATGCTAAAGGAAGCCCTTTGGAGCTCTGATAGCATAGTGGCTAAGGCACTTGACTGCTAACCAGAAGGCTGGCAGTTCAAACCCACCAGCCAGTCCTCAGAATGCAGATGGGGCAATCTACTTCTGTAGTGATACTGCCTCGGAAACCCAAGGAAGGGTCGCTATGAGTCGGGTCCAACTCGATGGCACATAACAACAACAAAGGGAGCCCTTTAGACAGAGAAGCAACAACAACCAACAACTGACCATTAATGCACATGATGATATAACCCAAAAACCAACCCAGCTATGGAAGTATCCAAAGTAATAAGCCCACAAGATTATAAACAGGGAAACAAAGGCACCAACCGACAAATGAAGACAACCACAAACCAAAAAGAGAAAAAAAAAATCTGTGTCGTTACAGAACTTCTAGATGGTAGGGAAGTCAAGACAACTACAAAATACAACAGACTGTTCTACACTTGGGAAGAAAACTATAAATCACAGGGTAACCCCAAAGAAAAATGATAAACCTTCACATCAAAATAAAAAAGAGGACCAGCATAAATATTCAGCAAATACTCAAACTATAGCAATGAAGGAAGTGATAACATGATTCATAAACAAAATGAGCTCAGCATAGAAAATTATATGGAACAAAGAAATTGACACAATGAAAAAGCACATGACAAAAATGACAGCAACAAATTCATATTTGCTGCTAATTATATATCTAGCAAGGGACTTATCTCTAAGATTGATGGGAAACTCCAACGCCTCAACACCAAAGGAATTAACAATGCAATTGAAAAGTGGGCAGAAGTCATGAATAGACACTTCACCAAGGAGGATATTCAGGTGTCAGCTAATACATGAAAAGATGCTCACAATCATTGGCCATCAGAGAGATGTAAATCAAAACAACAATGAGATATACCATCTCACCCCAGCACTGATGGCAAGGTTCAAGGAGACAGAAAATACCAAATGCTGGTGGGGATGTTATACATTGCTTGTGTGATGGTTTTCCACACCACCACTGTGGAAAGCAATATGGCGATTCCTTAGAAAGTTGGAATTGGAGATACCTTTTGACCCAGCAATCCCATTACTAGGTATATATCCTAGACAGGTGAGAGCCAGGATAGGA